TTTTTTTTTTTTTTTTTTTTTTTTTTTTAAGTTTACCACAGGGCCTGTGTGCTAGCCGGAGAGAAGCAGAGGAAGAAAGCACCCCCCGATGGGCATGGTCATGTCACAATCCTTCTCCATTACCTGATCCTGTCAGGGTTTGGGGCAAGCATGCACATACACTGGATGTGTTTTCAAGCTGCTAGGTCCAGGATTCTAACTTACGGTCAGCCATGTGAGATCCTGAATCCTTAACTGCTAGGCCACGGGGCTGGTCTTCTTTTCTTTCGGAGAGAGAAAAAGACAGACGGACTCGCGACAGTGTCTTGGCACATGGTGGTCCTCCCCTAGCCTTCCAGGCAGTGAGGACCCAGACCTCAAGACTTCCCATGTTACTCTAGCACTGTGCTGTGGCATGTTCCTGTTATCTGGATGGAGGAAATAAGGGGTTCAGACGAGGTCAGCGGTTTCACACTTTGTGATACGTTTGACATGAACGTTGTAGTTATAGTATGGCCCTTACTGTGTGGCCATCTGATGTTTGTAACTCAAGCAGGTCATTTCGCAACCCACTGATGACTCCAGTCACTCTTGCCTTGTTGATTCATGGGGAGTCTCCAGTTAAGGGTTGTGTGCTTCCTGGTGTTTTGCAACAGGTATTGCAGGCAGTTAAGGCGTTAAGAGCAGGGTCTGTTGCTCTCACTGCTTCTGTGTAAACGCCTGGTGTATTGTACCCGAGTAGCTGTCTCAGCATCTACAATGCATTTACCACAACCCAGACTGAGGGGGCAAGGGAGTCCAGTTCCGTGTTTATGCAGGTGTCACAGTGTGGCAGCCACGTGGTCCACTAAGATTTCAGGAGTGGAATTGTGTCTAGGCTTCCCATTCCAGCTGTGGCTATGGACAGTCTTCTGGCCCAAAGCCCTGAGGTTCAGGACATTCCTTGTTGCTTGAGGGTCACTGGCGCTGAAGAATCAAAATCTTGGTGTGCAAAGTGTGAGAGAAGCTGCTTGTGCGACTCCTGTGCCCTGAGGCACTAGCTCTGGCCTGGTGACTCAGACCACCTCAGGATCCTACCTTTGCCCACACACAGCCTTGGGCCTCATCTGGCTCCCTCAGGCTTTGGTCATTCCTCAGCAGGAGGCCTTTTCTGTCTTTGGTCCGGGTCAGGTCTTCTGCCCTGTGCCCATGGCATCCCCGTGATAACTGGACTCCAACCGCCAGTCAGGCCAGCTCTTCACTTGGGACACCAGCCACTAGCTTCCGGGGCTCCAGGTCACCCTCACTTCTGACCGGCTGCCCACAAGTTTGGAAGTTTCTCCACCACCCCTGAGGTTCACTTGAACAATCTCAGAGCTCAGGAAAGCGCGAGCCATTCCAGTGTTACTGAGGCAATACGCTATGGTCAAAGGCCAGCGGCGAGGAGGCGGGCGGGGCTCGATCCCTCGGTGGAGCCGGCAGTACCACCGCGCTGCCCGGGACACCGGATTGTAACCAAGAGGCCGAGCGGGCTATTCCCTGAATCCGGGGCAGTGCGGGTAGTCCTGCCCCTCCAGGTGCCTGCCTGGTCTGCCCCGCCTCAGGCTGCCACAGCTGCCATTTCCTAGTGGGAATACCCAAATTTAGTCTACTCAGATGTCAAATGGTAAAACAATTCGCAATTTCAAATGTTTTTGAGTTTTCTTTATATGACCCGCTCCAGTTTACTTCTTTCCACTCATATAACAAGGCTATATCGTAACGTTTTTTGTAAATCCAGTCACTACTCACTATGCTCATCGGACCTGAGACTCCCGCAGTCAGGTCACCCTGGAGCAAGAACACTTGGAGTCTGCCAGGGCCTTGTGGCGCAGGCGCAGATGCAGGCGCAGGTAGAAGGGCGGCGCAGGCGCAGATGCAGGCGCACGAAGAAGAAGGGCGGCGCAGGCGCAGGCGCAGGCGCAGGCGCAGGCAGAAGGGCAGCGGAAGAAGAAGGAGCAGGCGTGGTCTTAGCTCGCGCCCCGCCTTGGACGTCCTCGGGACCTCTTACCACAGGGACCGGAAGTGGCGTGCGCGGCTTCCTGCCTTCTTGGCCGGCCGGCGTCGGTGTGAGCCGTACGGTGAGCGCAGAGGCTTCGCGGCCGACCGCTGGTGCCGGCCCAGGCGCCGTCTCGCAGTCGGCGTGGCGAAGATGGTGGGCCGGAACAGCGCCATCGCCGCCGGCGTGTGCGGCGCGCTCTTCATCGGGTACTGCATTTACTTCGACCGCAAGCGCCGGAGTGACCCCAACTTCAAGAACAGGCTGCGAGAACGTGAGTGGGCCCGGGCCCTCGGGGCCTCCCGTTGCGCGCGGCCTCGGCCCCGGCCCCGCGCGGCCCGGCCCTCGTGCCTTCGTGCCCTCAGGGTTCCCTCCATCTTGGAAGCTTTTTCCCATTTTGTTTTCCCAGCCGCTTTGGCCGTGGAAATGCCCTTTAATTTGTGTTAGGGTTTCGGACGTGCGTGCTGTTTCCAGTTCGAAATCGTGTCTTTGGCATTCGGCTTTGAGCCCGAGACAGCCCGCACGTGCGGTGCGCTTTCCGTGCGCATTCCGAAACCCTCTTGGTAGCCTGGCTCTCGCGCTTCCAGGGTATGCGTGAATGCGACAGCAACGCAGGGAGTCCAAGGACTGTGCTTCTGTGGCTCCGTCCCATTTCCTACCTGCGATATTTCCGAGAGCTTTACGGGAGGGGAATCAAAACCCTCGTGACCGCTGTGAACGCCCGGCGGCCTCTTCTGCAGCAAGTCTGTTTCAGTAAATGTTTTTGTAAATCCAAGTTACTCAGCCAAATCATTTCTTGAAGTTCAGATTGATGGTCGCCATTAAAGCCCGCGAGCACGGAGAAGCGACGGCCCTGTCCCTACTTGTCCTGTAAAGCTGCCGAGGCTCTGCAGTGTCGAGTACCCACGTGGGGCCGGCAACCGCGTGGTCGTACACCGCCAGCTACTCACCCGGAGTTAGGGGGTTTCAAACCTGTGGCCGGCGAATGTGGGGGGTTGCAGATACAGGGCTTTGTAATGGGTTAACTCTTTCTGTGCAAATCCTGCAGTCCTCTTGCTGAAAACCATTTTTTGGTCGAAATCATAGGCGTTAACATTTTAGGCAAGTTGAATGTTACTTTCAGCTTTTCTTTTCCATGATTTTCAATCCAAAGCTTTTTTTTCTAGCTTTAGCTGTAACGTGATGATTTAAGTGAATTACTAGCTGCAGCACTAACCTTGGGCAAACTTCAAACTTCACACTTGAGCTTTTCTTATTTTTTTTTTGTAAAATCGGACAGCAATTGTAGGGTTTAGTGTAGAGTTTAGTACCGAATGTTATAGTCCTCATTACTTTTGTTAGTTTGCTGCTGGGGAAGAGAGTGCAAGTGAGAAAGTGCCCTTGGCTACGCCCCACCCCTTCCCCATTTCTCCTTTTTGGATTTTGGAATGCTGGCCCTGCAGGCTGCATGTTTCTCAGCCCCTGCCGCTGCCACCACCACTGTGGACTTCAGAGCCTTCAGTGAAGCCAGCCGCCCGCCAGAGCCACCATGCCCCTGATGGCTTGACATTTTTATTTTTATGAATAGAATGATTTTGTATTTCTCGATTTTTGTTGGCAAGTCACACTTTGGAGCCCCTTTGCAGTCTGTTTATAGTTAATTGCATGACCGAGTTTAAGGACTTGAGAGTATTTTCACTTGCACAGTGAAGTTGACTTCAGTTTTTTTTTTACCCTATAATTTCCAATAGAACATTACATCTGCAATAAAAAAGCAGTCCGTCGGGGTTTAGCTGGTGGCCTAGTGGTTAAGGTGGCTGTATCCTCATGGCTGACTACGTGGTTCCAGTGCCAGACCCAGTGGTTTGAAAAAGATGCCTGGTGTGGGTGTTTGCATGCCCAAAAATTCCCAGAGGAGAGAGGATTGTGGTGCAGCCATCTCCCATGTAGCTTCTTGGCATTGTTGACTTATTGTTACTGTTATTTTAGGTTTTTGCCATGAGAGGGAGAGTGAGAACTCATCTGGGGATGCGGGAGGGCAGAGGCACGGTCCCTTCTCCATTCTCCCTGGATTTTGGGTATGTACGCACCTGCACTTGGTGGACTCCTACACGCTAACCGCCATTGCCACCTGCTAGCCCTTATTTCTTTTAAGGAAAAGAGACTGGCTGGCTCTGAGGGTTTTTTAGTTAAATTTGGGGTCCTGATTATTCAGACTTTTTGTCTTAGCAAGAGCAGATTACCAGGACTCTTAAAGCATACAATTTATCAATCCAATTATTAAAATAAAATTTAACGTCCGAATTATAGTTCTAGCTACAGGTATGTTTAATTTGTGGGTAATTGTACATCAGTTCATTCACCGTATTTCATAGCTTTGTGAGTCAAACACATTCAACAGCCGTCTCAGGCTCCTCCCCATGCTAGGATTTTTAATAAGGTTGGATTATAATGGAAACTCATTTTTACTCTCTCAGGTTTTACCCGTCTGTCTGGAGTTTGGCAAACAGATCTCCGTCTTTGGGTATCAGGATTAGGATTTCTCGTATTTTTGAATCTGTCAAGGGATGTTACTTTCCTGCCTTTGGTTTCTCATAGCAGTCCTGTAGGGTTAGGCAGCTCTTAGGTTGGGGGTTGAAGAGAATTATTTGCCCAAGGTCACCAGCTAGTAAGTAGTAGAGTCTTTTTCGTGGCCTGGGCACATATTCCCTATGCTCATAGTGACGGTTCTGTAAGTACTTGATGAAGAAAAGCCCTTAATGAGGGAATGTCTCAATTCTGAAGACGTAGATGGCACTTGTCACGAACTGGACACTGCTAAAACACTTCCCATGGGTTAAGTACTCATTTAACCCTTGCAGCTGTGGAGTGGGTTCTGTTCTTAGACCCTATCTATGCAGAAAGTGGGGCCTCGTGACTGGGCTGCTCGTCAAAGGCAGAGCTGGGGCACAGGAGGCAGTCAGGCTCTGCCTGTGCATGTCACTCATGGCCAGCACGTCCTGTAAGAGCAAGTCAGGGCGCCATGGCTTTCCTGATGGACTATTGGTTTTTTTTTAAGAGTTGACTGATGGATTAGAGTTTTAAAACACCATTTTTCTCTTGAGGTTTTTTTTTTTAGTGATGCTTGATTTCATGTCAAAAAACAAGACAAAAACCAAAATACCGTAGAGACCACAGGTGGAGGTTGGCCTTTGGTTTTCCTTGCTAGCTAGCAGTAGTTGAATTAAGACTATAGAATACGTTCCCGAACTTGATGACCCTCATTTTTACTGGATGCAAAAAATACTGTATTTTATTTTTAGAAAACGTTATCAAGTGTTACCCATTCCCATCATTTAAGAGTGCTAGCCTTCATCACTCAGGGTAAAATCTGCTTGTTTCAGCCATAGAACTCTTCAGTAGTGGCCCCGTCCTCGCTCTTGTGCCAGGTGTAGGCTGGGTAAAGGAGGTTCTCCCTGCTTATTGTAATTACCCAGCGGTCTGGCTGCTGGAACAAGCCCCATCTTGTGAATTACTGAAGCAGCTACCCTGAAGGGAAGGAGGGAGGCACTGCCCAGAAACGTCAAATTGTCTGTAGCTCAGTGATCATTTATATTTATAGGCCCTGACACAGAGAGGAGTGCGAGGTTTCTAAGAAGTGTTTCACAGATAGGATTGTTAACTGTCCCAGCAGTCGGACGTTTGATTCTCATTTCTCTCATGGCAAAATAGAAATAATTATGTGCTATTTCTTGTAGGAAGAAAGAAACAGAAACTTGCCAAGGAGCGAGCTGGACTTTCCAAGGTAATGTCCAGCCTGTTTTTGTTTAGATTATATTATATACTTAATAAAAATGCTACTTTTTTTTTTTTTTTTTTTTAGAGAGATAGATTTTTGCTCTACACTCAACAGGGAGACAGAGACAGAAAGTGAGAAATCACCGCCCGGCGGGGGGATGGGCATGTGCGCACACCTGATAGGAGTTTTAAGCCACCGGGTCCAGGTCTCGGACTGCAGTCAATTATATGGGAGTCCAGAGACATAACCATTATGCCATCTGCTGGTCCCTAGAAATACTGTTTTAAAATCTATCTTAAATATTGTATACATTTTGAGGAAACTAGTTGATAGTGTGTTTACCAGAGAGATAGACAGTAAGAGGGAAAGTGAGAAATCCTCCCTAGGGAAGGATGGCCAAGCTGCAGTCCCTTCTCTTCCAGGGATCTTGGGCACACACACATAGCCAGAATGATTTTCAAGCTGCCAGCTCTGAGACTTGAACCACAGTAGGCCATGTGGGATAGAATACTATCCTAACCTTAACTGCCATGCCACCTACTGACCCCCGTTGGTTTTCTGTTTTAAAATACAGTTAATTTTGTTTACTCATGGATGAAGAGCTTCATTCTGTTGCAGGTTATCTGGGCCCTCGTATTTCCTCCTTACAAGGGCCACGAGATAAGGGGTAATAGGTGATGGTTTCATGAGCCTCTTTACTGAAGGTTAAATTGTTCTCACTCAGCTGCTTCAACATGATGAGATGTCATTCTTACTGATTTAATTCCCTTGCTACAACTTCATTGAAAATGAAAATAGTGAGCCAGCAGGTGGCGTGATGTTTAAGGCACTGGGTTTCCACAAGGCCAACTGCAGTTTGAGTCCCAGGCCCAGAGGCTTGAAAAATCACGAGGCATGTGTGTGTTTGTGCCCCAGATCCCAAGAAGAGGAGTTTTTAGAAAAGGCATTCTGAATGTTTCAAGGCGAGTTTTTGGGCTCCTACTAATGTGATTGCCTTATGGAAGACTGCTCCTTGACAGATGTACCCTTTGCTACTGCCTCGGGGCATATCTGTGTGAGCTCTTTGCTTACTCGCTTTAGCAAGTGATGTACAATGGATGACGTAATTCTTACAGATACAGTCTCTCCTGCTTCTAAGTACTGCGGCATAGACTGTCTCGAGAGAATGTGGACTGGAGTATATGTTCTTGGACCCCTCCAGCCCCCACGTCTTTCCTGGTATTTACAGGAGAGGATGACTAATTTATATGAGAAAAGGTTAATTTATCTAGTCAAAGTCATGTTGCATTTATGACATCTCATTTCATAGCCAGCCTTGTACCTGATTCAGATTTTAGGCTTTTTATTAGATAGTGCCTCATTTATTCTATCAACGGTAATAAGTTTCCTTTTTTTTCCCTGAAAACTTCTGTGAATTGAAATTATTAAACGAATCCTAGATCTACAATTAATTGAAAAATTTAGTTTTGGGCATATTTCAAATTATCTTTTAATTTTACACAACAGTCACACCTGGTTCAGTCTCTATACTCAGATTACTAATAAAATAGGAATGGTGGAAAATAATGAGTAGGCCAGCCCAGGGAGTGGAGTCTGTCATTTGCTGAAGCTTCATGGCTGACCGTGGGTTTGGATCCCCAGGTGGACCTGAAAACATGCTAGACATTCGCTTGGGTGCCCAAGAGCCTGAGGAGCTGGAGGGCTGGTGGGAGGGAGTCATGGCATGAGACTTTTGATTGCACTTTCTCCCTTCCTTTTTCTCATGTGTGCGCTTTTACATAGAAATAATAGGCCAGCCTGTGGCATGGTGGTTAGGGCAGCCAGGTGCCACGTGGCATGTGCGTAGGAGCACTAGCATGTAAGTGCAGAAGAGCGTGAGGTGGATACCAACCAGGAAACACTGCCAGTGTCCTCAGGGATGCGAGAGCGGAACGGGAGAGTCCTCTCAGCGTGCTGGCAGGGCTTGCTCCCAAATGGTACTGGCTTGAGTCGTGTAGAAGGCGCGGTCCTCCCGTGCTGGGTGGTCAGGGGCATAGGAGGTGCCCTCCCTGCTGTGCGCCGCCTGGGAGCCCACTGTCAGTCAGCAGAGGGGTGGCAGCGTCTCCTTCACATAGGCAGGGAGCTCAGGACCATAAGAAGGTTGTTAGAGAGGTTGTGTCCACGTTTCTTGGACATACTCTTGAAAAGACAATTGCAGTGTTTGCTCGGCAGAGATGAGACTTTTTGGCATCCATCCACAAGCAGGAACTGACTGAACAGCTGTCAGTTCCTGTCCTGGTCACCTGAGGTCCCAGGTTAGGGCTTACCATCTCAGTGCCCGGGAAAGGGATCGCCCGGGCAAGGGATCGCCCGGGCAATCCGCACCGGTACTGCCACACCCGGTGATAGCGACTAGCACCTTGACTGTCTCATCCCGGAGACAGCACAGGGGTGAAACAGTCCCAGCCCCGACATGGGCTCTCCTGTTCTGACGCCAGTTAAAGCTACGGACGTCTAGAAACCTGAACCATACACAAATGCCAGTGGAAGCTCTGGGCCCTCCAGCTCGGGGTAGGAGGACGTGGCAGCTCACACAGCCCAGAAGAATGAAGCAGTGTCCTCAGGGTACAGAGTTTTGTACTGTGTACAAAATCAGGTGTGATATGGTTCCTTGAGGCTTAATTCTGGC